AAATCGAATTTTTAGCTGAGTCCCCTGAATTTCGAATTATCGAGTGACTACTGTATTTAAAAATTAAAATATAGGGGGTCATTTCGGGGCCACTGATTTTTCTTAGGGGGCCAGGCCCCCTAAGGCCCCTCTTTGACGACGTGCCTTCATTACGTGTCACAAGGCGATAAGAATTAAGAACTTATGCAGTAATCGTATAAACTATTTTCATTAATCATGTATGTTTCTTTTCCTCAAAAACAGTCAGCTATAAGTATATCTTTTTATTTAATCTCCGAAGTCGGCACACATTGTACCGTTAGGTGTGTAAACATCTTTTCAGTGTGACAATATTATTTTTCTTATGGGCGACATATTTTTAATTTTCCCCGAGGGTGGTAACGTAGCTTAATGCGGCACTGCTCGTAGCGGTTTATCGTATACGTTCAGAGCCGTAACTAGGGTGAGGCGAGCGAGACACTTGCTTTGGGCACCTGAAGCTGTTGGGCACAAACATTTTAAGTAATTAACTTATTTTAAGGAATGTTATTTCTTGTTTTGCTAGAAATCTAATTACAATTTTCCGAATCGTATTTTACATATTAAAAGCCGTGAGTGTGACAACCCTACAACCTAAGGGGCGCATTTCTTCAGTTCTTCCTCAGGATAAAAAATGTCTCGGTATGTATACCACATCAAGGCCGTTCATAGACTCGGTTTTGTGCGTGGCAAACTTTGGACGAGGAAATAGGTTTTCATTTTTTTTTTTTTTTTCTAGACGCCAACAACGAAATGTCGGTGGTTTGACATTCAATATAATAATAATACTGTAAACGCATACGCGCAAACGGAACGAGCACACGAATTGGCATAAAATTTATGTTCTGTAATACGGTAAAACGACCACAAATACATTAAAATAACAAAAACAGTTATGTGTTGTATGGGTGTGCACAAAACTTTTGATATTTTCATGAAATTCACTTTTGTTCTGACGCTTTTCCCTAATTAATATTTATACGCGTATCGAAAGTGAAATACAAAAACATCATAAGTGACGCCTGTGTATAGAGTGTTGTGGATATTTAATGAGGTTATTTTTATTTATTTTTTAATTTTCAAAGTTAACCCGGGCATACGTTTCGAGCACAAATCGATCTGTTAAGGGTGTTTACGTTTAGAAGGACAAATCACGTCAAAACCATACAACAGTAATAGGTAAACGACTATGATACTACTGTAATGAAATATTTAAACAGGATATATGTTTGAAAACCATTAAAATGTATGCTATAATAAATGAATATTCACAATCCATATTTTGATATCATACGTACTAAAAAAAATTAAATTCGTGCATGAAAAAAAATACTCATAAAAAGCGCTTTTTCAATAAAAATTATTATTCTGTTTCTTTTATTCTCTTTGTATATAACTTACTGTTTTTCATGTTGATAATAATATAAACTGTATAAATATTTATACACTCATGATAGTCTATAATCAGTAACTATATATTTGCCTCGGCGTAACTTCTTTTGCTCAACGTATACATATTTTTTTTTTTTTTTTTTTTTTAATATTCAACAAATTATAAATTATTCATAAAAACTATATTATTCCTGTACATGTTATTATTTTTGTATATTACGCTATGAAACATATACCCTATTAACTTTGAGAACCGAAGCGATTAATCAAAAAAAATATACATTTATCTGTATCTATATAGTTCTACCTTTATTGGCTTTCAAGCGTGATTTAGAAGTATTAAAACGTATTTATTTTATGAAATTCACACCTTCTATGGTTTTGATTTTTTTTTCTTTCTGGTTAGGTAATAATTTCTTAAATTTTTTTAATCGAAATGTATTGATTAAATACTAATTCAAAAATAAACATTACGACTAACAATTATTTGGTTTTGGGCTAAAACTCAAGGATTAAGACATTCAACATTCAAGTTATGTTGGAAAATTTGTGTCGAATGAGTCGAACAATCCCGGATGAATTCGATTTAAAACAGTATATAACATTACAAAATATACACTACCAATATTGTATACGTATGCAAAGAAAACGTATGATTCCATCGGTATTTTATACATATTTATATGCATTGTATACACCGTGATCGCTCAGTCTTTCGAAACGTGGCACAAGTATAGATTTGTAATCATACAAAAACGAAAGAATTCCCTAGGAATCGATTGCGCACTCTTGATCCGATAGAAATCTTGAAATCCATACAAACTAAATGTTTTATTCTTCCCCTTGGACTTGAATCTATCGAAATGCTTTACCATATTTGTGTATTTGATCTCATACATCGAACGAGTATTATGCGAACATATAAAACTCGCCCGGAGGGTATATATAACGTTTGCCCAGGCAGCAGCAGTAATAACCGTCGTGTTCGCATATTATTATAGATCAATAATTTTGTTTCAAATTTATTTATTCTTTTTACGACCGTGGGATGCGTAGAAATAAAGACGATCTAGCCACACTATTAACTTCCACACCATACTATTTTGCGTAGAATAGATAATATTCTTTTGGCATTATCCACGGAGTAAACATAGTATTACGTCCTTGTTAGCTATAGTAACCGTTACCGCATAATTTACTGAAGTTAATCCTGAAACTACACTAGTGACTACGATAACTACTTGTATTATCAGAATTATAATGTATAATTTAGAATTGTAAAGCAATTTTAACCAGATGATTATAATCATACTAATCGCTATGTAAGGTTAAAAAAAAACAATATATTAGTTTTTGCGAGTTCTTAAAAATAAATTAGGTGCTTGTTTTGTTTTTTATTGCTTTTTCGCTTTAACTTGATTGTATTTTTTTCTAGCTACAAAATCTAAACTCGGTCGGGTTAACTTGGTTGTGAAGTGCGTAGGTATGCTGCCGGTATACTCTCCGTTATCAGTGAAAAGTTCAAAGGACAGCGTCATTACGCACACAATGCGCTATAGAAAAAGAACCTTTGTATTATAACAGGCATGGTACTTATGAGTATATCCCAATACATATTGACAAAAAACTCTATACTCTTTACGATTGCAATCATAAAGTGATTCTCTTCTAAACTTTGGACGAAAAACCTACGACCTCTTCTGTTCCAAATTTCAAACGTAATATATCATCATCCTCGACTATAAATTCACCATCACACAACGACAAAAATCCAAAGTTATTCACGTAACCAAACCGGTTTGCAGCTCAATGAATTGAAGACAATCCTAATGACGATGTTTTTCCCATGTCAAGCAATAACAACCCATCAGGTGTTATCCATAATACTATTTCAAACCATCCAAACTTAAGTCCATGATAAAAATTTAAACGATATTATTCAAAAATGTATTATCAAGTACGGTTGATATCAACCAACAATTGTTTAAAACTACCCGGTCATACTTAAGTGTTCGTCCCAAAGACCAAGAAAGTTTCAATGCATTCATTACCTTTTTGAGGGAAACGAGTTTTGAGTACAAATCCTTTCTTCCATTACATCTACGCACATTTTGGATAGTAATCAAGAACCTACATTATACGACGCCTACCTCCGATATTTCTAAAACTTTGACAGCCCTTGGTCATACAAACACAAAAGTCTCAAATATATTAAAACTTATTGTTGCTCTACCACTCTTTTATGTGGATCTAAGACCCGCTGAAAATAAAAACGACATTTTTAATATATTATCTCTATTTAATACTCTGGTTAAAATCGAATATCCGTACAAATTCAATCGAGGTCCACCTCAATGCCACAATTGCTAGGCCTATGGCCATACATGTTGGTTTTGCGGTCACCGTTCACGTTGTGTCAAGTGTGGCGACGATCACAAAGGCAAAAGTTAGACAGTCAAATGTGCCATAAGTAGAAGTAATCCATCATTTATATCACTCCGTAAACATCAATCCAGTACCCATTGCATTCCACAAAAACCCAAGAATTCATATCCTTTAAATACAAATTTAAATCTTAATCTTAGGTCCAATCTTACACACATTCTCTTTCTGATGTAGTACACCAACTGCCAACTGAAAAACTGGAGGATATAAAGAAAATTCTCAATGATTAAAAATCTATTATTACTCCAACAATAGCTTTACTGTTGACATTTTTTGAAAAATTATGTTTATCTAAATATACATCCAATCCTTAATTGCTGATATCCACAATTACTCATTTCATTATCTACCTTTACTATCTGTATTTCACCTTTATAATATCAGCTACTTTGACAAATATTGCATACAATTATGGGACTCAAATTGGCATCAAGTTACCGAAAACAAATTAAGATAAATCAAATTATCAGTCGAGCTCTGGCCCAAACTCAACTATTTGAATCGAAAATAAAAGGTTATAATGAACCGACTTAGAGAATTGGCCACTCAAGAGTTACACATGGATACCTAATGGAAAATACCAAACCTCCGGCATGTCCTTCTTACAATTCTTTAATCACAGTTTAACACATCATCATCCACTGCCAAATATTCACGGAGGCCAAAAAGGAGTGCGAAATACCGGACAATCTATACGAAGCTACAGGAATATATGCTGACCCACAAAAAATAATCTCATTTTTAAAAAAAAATTGAAATGTACAATTTAATCTAATTTAATTTATAAAATGTTTTTTTTCTTTAAACATCATTGTAAAAACACCTTAATGTATACAATTATATAATCTAATTGTAAGCCAGTACCATGATGTTGATGCCATAACGATAAAAAAAAAGAAGTACCAGCTATTGTAATAATTATTAATATTCATTCTTTTCCCTATCAAATATTATAATATTAAAATGAATCATTATTTATAACTGTAAGTTATTTAAGTGTGAACTATATGTATACATACATGTAACTGTTGAGCTATACTAGTTTTTACTGAAAGTTCTTAAATATAAAAAAAAAATGTACATATATATATTATATATAAACTCCGCTAGAAAACATTAAGGCAGAAACCTTGTGGGGCACTTACCGTTGAGTATGTGTATGACAGTATTGGCAGGAAACGCGTTGCTCGGCGCGCAGGTGTAGTTGCCGGAGTGGGCACGCGACGCGCGTTCGATGTACAGCGCGCTGTGCTTGTTGGGCAGGTTGGACGTGACGTTCACGCCCCGGTCGATATCGTAGTTGATCATCCGGCTGTCGTGGTACCAGAATATGTACACCGGATCGACGGGACTCTGCCGGACCACGCATTCCAAGTGCAAAGGACTGTTAAGCATCAGATACTTCTCGGAAGCACCAGCTATCTCGGCTTGCGCCTCTGCGAACAGAAAAACCACGAAAAACCGTTACACCATGTCGCACACAGATTTCTCTCGAAACGCGTCTCCAACGACTTTTCCGATCAGTAACGTGCGCGTATGTGTACTCGCGTATGCATTTGTGTGTGTGTGTAGAGTTTAATAAACAGTAGTATACTCATTTGATTCAATTTATTTTTATTCGTTTATAATATAATGTCTCGGGTGGGTTATTATACAATTGTCGATTTCTACGATCCGAATGTTGAATAACTACGAGTTATAGTACAACTAAAATTAACCGTTAGTTCGATACTGTATAATTTACACTTTACCACTATCGATTAGATAAAAAAAAAAAAAAAGAACTGTACAATCGAATCCTCTAAAACAACAAAACGGTAGTAAACGAAAAAAAAGAGAAAAAAATAGACGAAAATACGTTGTCTTAGAGGTACGACCGGAACAAGGAGAAAATATTTTGTATTACGGTTGAAAAGCACGCGTTCCAAAGTATATCGGTCGACTAGGTACTTCCGAAATCGCCGACAATTCAATCGCGGTATCGTTTACCTATACGTACAAGCGAACGCAACCAATTTATCAATTTACTACACACATACAGTGGCGCACTGAAGATTTTTGACAAGAGTATCGAAAATATATATTTCGAGGTACCCACCCACCCCACCAGTAAAATCTGAGTTTAGGCATAGTATAACTCTTATTTTAAAGTGTTTTTCGTTTTTTTCTTACTAACAAAGATACTAAAAATAATTTTTTTTTTTAAATAAACCTAATATTAATTATTTTTCAATTTTCTGGGTATTAATTTACAAGTTTGTATAGCATAATTTTTGAGATTGAGCCCTATTACTTATTCTCATGTGACGCTTTAGTTTTAGGGCAAACATAATTAGTATGTTGATTTAGATAGATGAAAAATTGGTTAGTATTAAATTAAACAAATATTCATACAAGTTCACACAGAACTAACCATTCACCAATTCTTTGAGGGATGTCATCGACCCTCCCTGTGTGCGCCACTGTACACATATAGATGTATATTAATTTTAAAATACTAACAGTGTGCGTACGTGCACGTGTACCGAGTTCGAAACGAAATTCATCTAAAATAAAATCGTTATCCCGCAACCACCCTGATCTTTTCCGTCGATGGTCGGCGCGCTCGTAGGACGTCATCGTGTGTTCGACGCGAATTGAATGACGGCATTACACTCGCGGACGGACGTGTTTCCAGGCATGGCTTCAGAGAGTTATCAGGGGGGGGGAGTCCATTTAAGTACTGTAATAAATTAAAATAAGACTCGAAGTTATATGGAACTTAGGCGCACATCATTACAATATTAACTGATAATAGTTGTTTCCTCAAATTAGTACTAAGACACAGAGTCCGACTACTTTCCTATATTATGGTACACACCTCATATTAATGTCATAATATGGTTTTTTAGGCAAAATAAAATTGTTAGGTAGGTACCTAATTAAATAATCCGGATTTTACAGTTCACAAGGACAAAAATGTGTTAAAAAATTAAAATTTTTGAAAACCATGGGGGGTTCATGGCCCCAGTAGCCGCGCTTGTATGCTGCCCGCGAGAACCGCAACGCGTTCTCCTGTCCGCCGGACGTTTCGAATTGACATCTCCCGCCTGCGCGTCATTAGCCCGAAGGCGGGTGGCTGCACGTTGGATTCGCGTTCAAATGTTAAACGCATATTTCCATCTAGTGTACGTGTGTGTAAGTGTTAATACATGCTTATAATATGAATTAAACATAAAAAAATTAGTGGAAAAAGAAAACGGACGATGTGATTGCCCCTGCTGCCACTGTAATTATACTATCTTATAGGTATCACGGAACACGTTTCTGTGTAAGATTGGAAACTATTAGATGCAACGTTGTATTGTAAATATAGGTATACTGTTAAAATTTACATTTTTTAAGTCCCCATTACTAATTAATTAATTACAAAAAAAAACTAAAAGCGAAAAAAAAAACAAAAATACTTATCAATTATTGAATAAAAGACGTACGTTGCTCTAGTCTTCCTCACCCATATATTAATTTGCAATTTCTATTTTACACTAATATTATTAATTAGTACTCAGTTCCTGCTTTTTCCTGTCCATACTTTCATGAGTCCTGCTTAACCAGTTTTTCCGAGAAGTCAAATTGTTTACGGGAGGGGCTGGCCAAACTTATGAATTGGCATTCTTTTTGTCTTTGATCATAGTTTTTTCACAAGGAACCATGAAAGTATGGGCAGGAATAAGCAGGAATTGAGCACCAATTTTTAATGCAAAAAAAAAATTGCAAAATTTAAAATAGGGAGCTATATATATAAATATTTACTTGAACAAAAGTGAAAAAAAGAGTAAAGACTAGTAAATACAAAAAAAACAAAAAAACACTTCAAAAAACTTTGCGTGGTCACGACTCCAATTCAGGACTGGATACAGGACTACACACGGCACATCGTGCAGCCGTATACCAGTTGCAACTATAGCCGCCGTCGTCAGACGGACGCGGATCGGAAACACCGACTTTCAGCGGCAATCGTTCCAACGTCGGACACAAAAATATTTGGCACCCGACATGTGGATTACACCGTCACGCAATGTATCGGCGAACTATCGCGCGGTCAACGTTCGAAGGTGTCGTTCGTGTGTAGCCGTTGCGGTTCAAACACCGCCTTGATTAGAACAACGACAATGTCTCGCGCGAAACGTTTGCAACCCCTCCCTTCCGCCATATTCAGTCGTATCTGCGGCAGCGCGCCAGGGACGCTATTTGGGGGGAGCAGGGTGTACACTCGCACACTCTGAATTTTTTTCATCTTCAATTATCGGCTATTGGCCCAGGCGTCACTGATACATGGCCTTGCCACATTGACCTTCAGCTTTCCAATCATTAATATTGCCCGTGCACCGCGGCTAATCAGTAATCACTACTAATCATAAAGGTTGGCCTGGTGGTGGGAAAAAATTGGCTTCTTTAATTGCTTGTGCACTCTTGAAAAAAAAAAACTGAAATGGCGATCCTGTAGCGCGCACGAAATAAACCATTGTCGCGTCCGACGCACGTCGTCGGGGGCGGTCGAACGTTCACGGACTGCGCACGACTAACCCTAATCGGTTGTGATGATGGCGATCGTAAAAGACGCGAAACGTTCGATCAACGGCGGTGCAAGCGCGTATTCAGAATTTTATTTCGGGAGGAGTCGGATCAAAATTTATAAACAGCCATACAGTAAAACAAAAAAAATTACATATTATGATTTAAATATATAACAATCTATACAATGCATTAGCTATTGAGTACTAAATAATATATTTTAAACGTTTGGCTCGTCTACTATTTGCAAACTAGTCTAAAATCATATCATCAGTTTGTAAAAATATTTTTATGAATATTTAATAATGCTAAACCAACAAGATGATTCTCTGTAGTTGAATCTATCAAATATGTTTTTAATCTTCGCAGCGTTGAAAAAATGCGTTCGGTAGATGTAGTTGACACAGAAAGTATAGCAAGTACTTTCAGCAGTTGGTAGAGATTAGGGTACAATGTTTTATCACAAGAAATTAAAACGTCCGTGGAAGTAGTTCTTGATGATGATACTACTGAGGTCCATTTAGAAATCAATAAATCGTGCCATATTGTGCATTGAACTGCAGCTCTATACTGTTCGGCGATTGTTATCGACAGCTTTATAAATAGTACCAGTGATTCGCAATATTACATCACGTAGTAAATTTCGTCTATGAGTGGTAATATAAGCTAAGAAAATAAAAAAACGAATTAAAAATCAATAAAATGAAATTTAAGACTTTTGCAGCAATTTTCATGGACCATGGAAATATTTTTTTTAGATTTTCTTAAAATTTCGGAAGGGTTGCAGTCAACTCAGCCCCCCTCCCTACATAAATAGCCCTTGCGGCGGTGGAACGTCGGTTTTTTTTCTGTTCTTTTAACTCGTCGTCGATCCTGCTGCCCGTTGTTTAACGATTGCGTTCCGGCGGAAAAAAAAATGTGCGTCCCCACGTTATTATACACCGTCGGGTTAAATCGTATTCTTTTCGGTGCGGAGAACATTGCAATTGTAATTGCGTGTGGGACAGTAGCGCAATCAGGAATTTTTCATGGGGGGGTCTGACAAAATAAACTAATATACAAATAATAAAAAATTATAATATATATATCTAGAATATGATATTAATATACTATTATACGTACCAAGGGGGGGGGGGGGCCCAGCCCCGGAGTCCCCCCCCCTGGTTGCGCCACTGGTGTGGGACGTTATGAAAGAAATTCAAAACTCGTCAACGGCGAAGCAATCGAAAACTATGTAAACTCGAGTGAACGGGGTTTAATTGTTAATTCGAACGCACGGCGGAAACAAGAGCGTTACTAACGTATCATAGCTGTGCGGTCGAGTTATTTCGGTTTGCGCGCTTTGTAGCTTCACGTCAACGCTGCTAGTTAAAATGAAAAAATTACTCGTTAAATATTTTCAACAAAATACAGGTATATAATTTTTAAAATTTAACTTTATTTTTTTATTTTTGAAACCCTAACACGAGAAGCATTGAAATTTTATTTTTTTTATTTTTTTTTTATTATTGTAATTATTGTACATTGTCGCACAAAGGATTTTCCGGTCTCATGTGATTAACAAATTGAAAACATTATGATCTCGTTAAGGTATTGGAAACAGTTCAGAAGAAAGTATAGAGATATTGACGAGTTTAATATATAAGTAATATTTATTTGGGTTGGCTAATTAAATTGGTTTCAATTCTTCAATTTTGAAAAAAAAGATTTTTCAATTCTTCAAAAAAAATAAAAAAAAATATTTTATCAACCTTGAAACCAATAAAAACATTTAGTGTTTTATTCGGAATTCTATTTAATTTTCTATTTTTTTTTTCAACTTTTATAAAAATTTTACTTCGAAAGAACACTGTCATGTGTTTCGAAATTACTTTCTAAATTT